AAAAAAAAATAGAAGTAGATGATTCGCATACACGCCGGTGTGTTGGGGTAAGAAAATTTTGGGAGCGCGGTGCAAACAACCCCTACTACACAAAGTTCACAATTTTGAGTGAAGCAAAACAAATATCGTTGTTGTTGCATTTGCGGGCAAATTTTTTACCCGGATCCCGATCATTACTCCATGGTGAAATTATAAATAGGTGAATTCTTTATTAGATATATTTATCAATCCTTTGTGGACACTCTGTAATTTAAGCCAGCGCCAACAATGCTCGCAATCCCGCACTCAGTCAAAACAACATAAACCCAAAAACAAGCAAAATCAAAACCACAAAATATAGGTAATATTTTCCATGTGAACAATAATTTTACGATTTAGTATATTACGTAAAATAATATATTTCAAGCATTTTTGATATTTAATTCAACAATATTTTTTATCAGTTTACACAAATTCACGATCAGTGCCACACAGTGCAGAAGAAATAAAAATTGATAGTGCAGCACGAGCAAGTTGAAATATATTTCAGAAATCGATTTTCGCTCTTTCAGTTGCAGTCACACCTTACAACTTTTATTTCTAAATCTGATGTCCGAAAAGTGACAGAAATATTTTTCTGGCAGTTCACACATCGAAATAAAATTTCTCTTTCTCAATTTGACAGCGAATTGCGTGGAAAAGACGGAAATATTGCCACGTCTGACAGGCTCTATAGTTTGACAGTTTGACATGGTAGCGACGATATCGATACTTTTGGCTATGAAGGTACACCGTATGAACTAAATAAGTTAAACTTAATTTTTTGGGGCATAAGTTAACGTCTATCTGGTTTGGTTTGATGTCTAGAAATTCTTTTCGAGAATGATTTCAGCTCAATAAAAAAATTTCGAAATAAACATAGCCTATAACTGTCAAAATGCACCAATCTGAAGTCGGATCCCTACTTAATATTTCTTTTGTAATCAACTCTTTTTCTTCTTTGTGTCTTTTCTTCAATAACAGGGCAGGGAAGTCTGCCTTTAGTATATCCGCTAGTCTTTTCAGCGCGAAGAATAAGATCCTGTTCACATGACGGGAACTAAACGCGCGTTTACAACTACGCGTATTTCGTTGCATTTTACTCAAGGTGTTCACATGCTAACGCGAGTTAAACGCAAGTAAATTCGTTTAAGTGTTAAAATCAAAATGCGGGTTAAGCGCCAGTCATGTGAACGGGGTCTAATATGCAGAGTTACTCAGTGAGTTTAACATCGCGTTGAAACGTCTGCACTGAGTATTCATCCAGATTACTCTTCCACTCGAACAGTTGGACCTTGCCGACGTCGCATTATATCGACTTTGGTGAAGCAATTAGAGCGCAAGAATGATAGAATACAAGATTCCGCCGGCCAGTCGGCGATGACATTTATGTACAAAAAGTAAACAAAGCCGAGTAGGGTGTTAAAAGAAAATATCAGAAGAGCAATTTTTTTTAATATTCAATTTTTCAATTGGAAACATTTTTAATTGTGCTAAATTGTAAACAATAAGAGTTAAAAGGAAAATGTGAAAAACTGTGATTTTTGGGGAAGCATTAGTGAATTTCAGTGCATTTAAAGTTTTTGAGGTGTCACACATTGTGCCCTTTTTTAAATTTTAGCGTGTTGAAATTTTGCAAGAACACTGCATACGCCAATACAAATTTTTTGACCATATATGGGCGTAGCCCGCTCAATTTGCTCGTACCTCCCATATAAATAGTGCCAGACGTTCCTCGTTCTTATATTTAAATTATTATCTTATCAGCAGGGCCGAAAATTTTAAGCTTTTGCTTCGAATTGCTTATTTTGCATATTCTGGATTTCTAAGCTTAATTTTAACGACCATGCTTATTTTGCTTATTTCTATGTATAAAGCTAAGTATGGACCTTTTAAAAAAATGGTCAAGAAATAAATTGCTTTTATTTCGTGTGTGTAAATAGAGTAGTATTCAAGGAGTTTTAACATCTGATATTTTACAGCCCGTTTTCTCACCTTTTCCTTACGAAATAATGGAGCGGACATATATTTCTGTGGAACACAAGGTGGCCTTTTGCTCTTTACAAAAAAATATTTTAGAAAATCATAGTAAAACGCGTAGCAAATCTCTTAAGAACTCCGTACTGTGTAAGAAAATTTGGCTCAATAAATTTTTCTTGAACATTTATGGGCTTTTTTTATTCGTCGAACTAAAGAAATATTTACAAATAACATAAGAACATATTTGATTTTTATTAACTCTTAACTTCAATTGCATTTCTACTTGGATACAAAAATTTTAAACCAAAATTTGTCTCTACGGGAAGGCATTGGTGTTATTAAAGAGATTAACAAAATTATAGTTTAAAAAACTAAAACCTCCCTATTATAATTGCCATTCGTAGTGTCATCAGGTATGTAACTTGAGAATAGAAACGCTGCATCTTTTAGTCGCATCAATGTTACATAGTTACATCCCGAGCTAATAAAAGGAAAGTAAAAATAAGTTATCTCAAATAGGAGAATAACGAATATAGAAAAAATAAATAAAACGGCCAGCGCAGTTCTCTATTATTTAAGAATATCAAGCAACACTTGATTGCCCATTGTAATTTTTCAATCCTTGAAATAAACTGATTAAAAACAAGACATTTAACTGTACTTAAATTTTTTGTTTGTTTTTCGAGCATATTTGCGAGCATATTTACTAATGTCTTAGTGCTTATCTAAGTGCTTAAACTTCTTTTTTCATGCTTATTTTCTTCCAGATCGAAAAACGAGAAACCAAATCGATCATATTGTGATAGACGGCAGGTACGCTTCCAGTGTTTTAGACGTACGTACACTCCGAGGGCCAAACATCGACTCGGACCACCATCTTGTTGCAGCCAAGATACGAACCCGCCTCTGTGCAGCAAAAAATATGCAATGCAAGGAAAGCTTATCATCGAAAAGCTGCAATCACAACAGACGCCAATTTATTCACCAATCGGCCTTCACACCTGCACTCTTCAACAAACTGACATATGCGAGCAGTCGAACTCAATTTCCCGCTCATTAAGTACCGCCGCCGAAGAAGTAGTTGGATTTCAGCGAGCCCGAAAGAACAACTGGTATGATGAGGAATGTCAAAAGCTGCAGAGAAAAAAGATGCCGCCTACAGGGCCACGCAGCGATCAGTTGCAACGCGAGCCATGTGGGACCGTTATAGGGATCCGAAGAAGGAAGCGAGACGTATTTGCCGCAATCAGAAGAGAGAAGCCGAAATACGTGAGTATGAAGAGCTTGAGATGCTGGCTGACAGGAAAAACGCCCGAAAATTTTAGCAGAGGGTTAGGCGACTTACGGAAGGTTTCAAGACCAGGGCGAGCTCCTGTAAGAACAACAGTGGTGACCAAGTGACCGATGTCCAGAACGTACTTAAATTATGGAAAAATACAAAATCTCTTCAACAAATTTAATGGAGACGGTGGCATTGAAAAGACAAAAATGCTCAAATCTCTGCCGCCAGCAATTTCCGCCTCACCCTACTCAGTGTTATACCAACATCCGTTTCTTTTTAGTCTGCAGGTATCCTTTAAGGCTTCCCCTCGTATGAAGACACAAAGTGACAGCTGCTAGCGCCAGATGTTGTAGAGAAAGCTCCCATACAGCACAGGGCAATCGTCTTTGATGTTTAGTAAGCAGATTTACCACGCTATGGATTGAGAGTCCTGTCCACCATACCACTAACGCATAGCTTATTATGGGTCTGATCATAAAGGTATACATCCAGAGGATTCCCTTTGGTGACAAACCCCACGTTTTGCCAAAGTCCTGTTTACATTTCCAGAATGTCGCCAATGCTTTGTAGGTCTTGTGCCCCCTTGAGATTTCCACGATAGTTTTGTATTCAGAATTACTCTTAGATACTTCACTTCGGGAGAAGTCTGAATTGTAACTCCATTAAGTGTGAGGGAATGAGACCATCCAACCTTCTCCTTCTAGTGAAGAGCGCAACACTGGTTTCGGTTGGGTTAGCGGTGAGACCATTTCCGTTTTTCGCTAATAAGTCATATTTTCGTAAAAAAATAAAAACATTTTTTTTAACAAAGAATAGTCGAAACTTGCTAAATTGTCTCTTCCCTATTTACATTTTCTCCGCCGTACGTTTACAATAAATTAATAAGGAAATCACAGCTGAATCAGTATTACCATGATGTAATAGTAATGTGATTAACAGGACGAAATATGACAGAATCTCCACTATTGCTGAAATACGCACAAATCAATCCCAAAAAGTCTAATGCATGTAATAGTTCATTTCAGAGAAGTAAGTTACTTACTTGTATTTATGATATTTTTAACCGACTTCACTAAAAGAAGGAAGGTTATCAATTCGTCGGAATATTTTTTTATGTATGTTACGGCATAACTTTGGACCACGTTAACCGATTTCTAAAATTCTTTTTTTTTATTTAAAGAGTTTGGGTTGGTTTAAATCCGATCAATGGATCATGAAGAGATTAACGATAATCTTAAATTTTGTATATAAGCATTAAAGTCGGTTTTGCTTTTTGCTTAAAAATTACTTGTATTTAATACGGCTATACTCGATTGTTTTGACGCCACTTGCAGCAAAAATTAAAACTGCTAGTACAACACGAGCAAGTTGAAATTATTTTGGAAGCCATTTGTGTTTTCTCAGTTGCGGTTACACTTTGCAAATTTTTTTTCGGAAAGTGATTTCCAAAAAGTATGTTTTGTGTTATGTTAATTTGACAGCAAAATGCGTAAAAAGATGTTATTGCAACGTTTAACCGCAATTTAACGCAGAGGATGTTCCTACTAGTATCGTTCATTTGACTGTTAGAGGTGGTACTGTTCCCCAAAAAATGGCCAGTAATAATTAAATTTCTAAATAAGAAGCCAATATTTAATAAAATTGTAAATTCTTTAGACCTAAGAAATAATACGATTTTATCCAAGCTTGCAGTCTTCGCTTAGCCCTGCCAGTAACTTACATTAGTCTCACTATCTCGTATAAGGAAATCACCATCATGTCCATGCTGGTTCAACACTGTGTCACATTGGCTGCGCGTGATGGCGCCATAATACCAGGATTTACCACCTAAGTTTGGCCGTTCCAAAGGAGCCATAGGAGGTGAAGATTGCACTGATAAGCCATCATTACGCCGATCGATTGAGTCACCGCCACTGCTACCACCTCCACCACCATTGCCACCACTATTGTTTCGGAACGGTTTAGCCAGATAATCATTTAACTCTTGTAGATAGTTGCGTGGAACTAAACCGACATGACCTTGATTATTTCTTGCTTTATACCAATCCGGATCAGAAGGTGGACGATCTACTATTTCGAGCCGGTCCCCCTTCTCAAAAGAAAGCTCTTGGTCGTTATTCGATGAAAAACTATAAAGGGCAACCTAAAGTAAAAAACAAGTTAATTTAGATATAACTCATATGAACAGAAATTAAACAATCATGTGCATAGTTAATATTTACCACAACGTCGAGCACATTCTCAGCCATGGCATACGTATGTATTTCACCATCATTATCACAATCTTCAGTTGTGTAATTGCTTGGAAACCAACCGACCGCATTACCATTCTGACCTCGCCACCAGCCATCGTTGGACTTTTCCAATATAAGAATACGGGTTCCTTTACTTAGCGACAATTCGTCCGGTTGTTGTGCTTGGTAGTTGTATTTAACAATCGCAGTACCTATGGTTTCAGCTGGATCTGGTGGTAAACGTCGAGACATTGTTGGACTCTCAATTTGTCTTGAGGGTGAGCAATTTGGTAAAGTTTTGGAGGCAGAGCCTTTTTTCACTTTTTTTTTTATGCTAAAAGAAGATCAATTATGGTTATCAGATATTGTAAATGCAATACATATATAAAGCTAATATTTCTTTTGTTGTGTAGAAGGAAATTTTTAAAATCTTTTGAATCAAAAACTTAATTAACTTTTTGTCGAAAAAAATTACGTGATAAAAATAAGGGGGTTTATGAGCTGTAAGTCGGGTCCACGAAAATTTATCTGGTATATGGATAGAAGAGAGCAAAAATTGTTGCATGGCTTTACCTATCAATGTAGGCACTACTCGAAAAAATTAAGGGAGGAACAAAAATTTTTGAGAGGCCATAATTCGGTAAAAATTGTGGTATTGAGACTTAAAAAAAACCTTTGAAGCTCCAAATTTCTAATTTTTCTTGAGTACACATTTTTTGAGCTATGGTTCTCATGTAATGTCAAGATTGCGGATAGCGCGAAAAAATACTTTTGCTAATCTTGTTTTTTTTTTGTCTACGGGGTTGAAAAAATGTTATTCATTTAGGCTGGCGTATGGATCAAATACGCTTTTTATTAAGCTTTAATTTCCTATTTTTAAAACCTCTCTTAATTTTTTTGAGTAGTGTATAGTGCTCTTGACCCACTGCTGCATTTACAGTCACTTTGTGTCTTCATACGTGGGGAAGCCTTAAAGGCCACCTGCAGACTAAAAAGAAACGGATGTGGGTATAACACTGAGTGGGGCGAGGCGGAAATTGCTGGCGGCAGAGATCTGAGCTCATGAGTCATTTCAATGCCACAGGCACGGTTGCCACTTTGGTACAATTGTACCAAATATGGGCCTTTTTTCTCCGCTTAGGCCTTAGCACTCCTTTGTTTGTTTTGGGCCTCTTTGAAGCAACTATGGCTATTCGTCCGTTGGAATTATGCAGGACTCCAAGAATGATAGAATACAAGATTGCGCCGTCCTGGGCGTTGACATTTGTGTACCACAAGTAAACAACGAATAGAGCGAAAAGAAGAACGAGTTGAAACTGCCAAAGCAGTTCACTTTACAGCGAAAAACGTGTTTTAATTTTGCTAAATGCGAAAATATTGCATTTTTCACCTAATCTATTAGAGAACAGTGAGCATTAGGGCGGGTCGATTTAAAAATCGCTCATTGCTCTGTGAAAATCGTATTCTAGGGATCAAAATAAGAAACTTTGCCGAAGGAACCATACCTCTAAAACGAATTCTGATGTCCCCCAATTTGGGTCGACCTTTTGGGTAGGGGCAAATTTTGAAAAATCCCACTTTGACCCATTTAGAGTGCTCCAATCGAGTCCAAATGTATGACCGACCCCCACTAACTTTGGACGGCCGATCCACCCATGCCAGTGGCACACCCCCTGGAACTCCCCTGGGGGTTCCCCATACAATCATTTCAAAAAATCACCATTTTTGGCCATTTAGCTGAAAAATTCACATAATGGCTATGTTTTTTATTTATTTTTATTTATTTATTTATAATAATATTTATTATTTATTTATAATAATATCTATCTTTTCTCTTAAGAAATTTATTTAGTCAGAACATATGTAAATGAAAAAATTAATTTAAGTGAGTTATAGAAAAGAAACTAAAAAAAATTATTGTTTGAAGTCTTTTTTACTTTCAAGTCTGGGCAATTTCGCACGGCTCTCTAATGTCGTCGCCATAACAGCCTCTACATTTTCCGGTATAACCCGTTTGGAAACGCTAGCTAGCAATTGAACATGTCGTTCCGTTCCTTGTATGTGTGATGGAATTTTTGGATCATTAAACGGTGGATCATCTTGATTTAAATATTCTTTCAATGTATCGTACGGAATGCTTCGCGTGAATGGTGGTTCAAATACGATATTTATATCATTCAAATTGATCATTTCCGTATAACTTGTGCAATTAAAGTTTATATCTGGTTTTTTATAAACTCTAAGTTCCATGGGCTCGTCAACATCGGTTCGATAGCGTAGAATTTTCTTGATGGCACAGTCGCGCTTTTCTTTGCTATCATCAAACAACATTGATAACAAGATATTTTCCGAATGCGCATAATATGAATTATCTTTAATTACTTGATTGACAATTTTGCGTAAACGAGCTTCTAGAAATCGTGACCAACCAATGAACTTGAAAAATAATGCACTGCCGTACACGACAGAGCTGTAATACTTGATATTGAAGTACATTGGCACATAACATTTAATTATAAATTCAACCAGAATTCTTAAATTTGCATCTGGATTTTCCGTTGTCACATATAATCGCGGCCTTGGTGAGCCACCGAGAATGTACAATTTTCCCTGGTTTGATGTTAGCCAGATCCACCGGAACCACGCCGCTGGAAATTGCATGGGCCATGTCGTAAAAGTACTTCGAATCGGTGGAAAATTCAATTTTTTCTGGAGCAGGGGGCATATTTTGCAACTCAATTTTCTGGAAGCCGTCAATCACCTGAAAATATATAATAATAAAATAATTAAAAATGGTTGACAATTATAATAAATGAGTGATAGCAATAACTTACCGGAAGAGTTTCACAAGTTTCGATTTGACGGCTCAGTTTTCCGGTTGCCGATCTTGGTCCAGTGCTGGTTGATTTATCCAAAGCTTCAACAAATGCCGAAACGGAAGTTCGTTGAAGTGTAGAAGGCAAACGAACCAATGTGAATAACTCAGTGAGAGGGCAGGACCAGGATGAATGTATTTGCATAAAAATGTATTAAAGCAAAAATGTTTTGGGTAGGCGTCGGGGCCAATGATAACCATCAGTTACCACCTCTGCATGGTTGTAAGTCATGCAAAGTCCCTACGGCTTGTAGCGCTGTGGCGTTGCCGCTTAAACTCTGTAAGAGTTTTTGGGGGTGTGCGTCAAGCGGGAGTGTTGAGCACCGGTTATTTATTTAAGTTCAAAAATTGGGTAGGCGCTGTGGCCAATGGTAACTCTTGTACCACCTCTGTATGCTAAAAGTCATTCAGAGCCCCTACAGCTTGTAGCGCTTTGGCTTTTGCTGTTTGAAACAACTCCGGAGGAGTGGTGATGCATCAAGCGGGATTGTTGAGCATGATTTGGAGTGCCAGCAATTAACTACTTTAGTAGGTTTTGTTCTGCGGCAGTTGAGAAGTGCATTAAAAAATGCATACCCAATGAAGAACGAACGAATTATTTTTAAGCACAAGTGCGTGTGTTTATTCGCTGCACTTGGTTTTGGGCGGGAGTGCAATATACAAGTGCGTGTATGTGTTCGCTGTTCTTTGTTTATGCGGGAAATGCATAAGTCGCTTAAACACAATGCAATGGTCTTTTTAACAGCAATTCGAATCGTCGTATAATTCCACCGTGTGGGCCAGTGTTTGTTGGCTCACCGTCAGTGCATATTCCAATTAATGCATCCAGTGATATATTTTTATCGTTGAAAAAACCATTTAATTTGGTTGTTTTGTATTCAGCGGTTTCATGTTTCAGTCTTACGTAACCAATCAATTCAGAATTGGGTTCTCTCAAAATAACAAGATGAGGTTCTTTTACCATCCTAGTATGATACTTCTCATCAATTTTATCTATCGTTAAAGTATCATCTTTTCTGCCATCGAATGAAAACGCTAACAAATTGGTATCATCTAACCGTTTGCGAAGCACTTCTTGTCTGCATTTCTCTTTTTCTCTGCGAACTTTCGATTTATCCATGATGAGAGGTTTCCCATGCTTATCTTTAATTTTAAAATCTTGCAAAAGAGCGGTTCCCAATGCTGATGCTACTCTGTCAGGCACACCAAATCTGTCACAGACCAAGGCAAAGTTAAAACAATCGTATCTCTCTGTGTATTGTGAAATTGTGCTTCTATCCATATCTTCTTGAACCGGTGGCGGTGCGTATGTTGAATCATCGGGATCTTGGTATGTTGGCATTGATGACATAGACGTTGCTCCTTGCTCTTCAGTTTCCATCACAAATGCATCCATTGTTAGTCTTCTCTGATTATGTTGATCGTGCATGAACTCTTTGAGGCGTTCGGGAACCCAGCCGCATGCACATGGAGCTGCCTTCAAATCGCATTTACATGTTCCAATGTAAAAAATTGTTTCCAGAGATTTTACATACTCTGTAAATTGTTGGGTATTGTTTCTTCTCTTGATTTGCTCTTGATACTTGTCAAGCAATTTATTCAATTTATTAAATACACTTTTTTCAGCATTATTTCCATACCAAGTTTTTCCCAAATTCCAATCAACTTATCTTGTACTTGAATAGTGAATGATTTATGGGAAAACTTTTTTTGTTCTGTTTTAGCACGTTCGCTTAAGTAAAAATAATATCTCAAGATATCCAGATGGGTTGGTAAATTAAGATCAGTTAAATCAGTAGACACACCAAAAACAGTAACATCATGCTTGGGTATATGGCTCATTGGGTTTTCGATAGTTGTTGATGTAGTTGCTTCATCTTGGGGTGGATTCATTGTAAACTTTTTGATTTGGAATGGTCACTTCACTTATTATTTTTTTTTGAAATATTTTTTTATCTGAAATTAGCACTTCACACTTTGAGTTCTTCACAACGACTTAATGCATTTACAAAAACTGTTGCGTTATATATGGTCTACGAGACGAGGTAATAAGAATGAAATGGTAATTTCAATTCTACCTGCTGTGTCTTGTGGTGGCTTAAAAAAAACAATACAAGCAATTTTACGATCTGCAATTGTGTCAAAGTGATACCTTCATTGTTTAAAAGGGTTGCGGTGCATTCCAGTGATACCTTAATTGTTAAAATGGTTGCAAAAAACGCGCATTTCTTAAGAAGGTGCCTTAAAATACCCACAAAAAGGGTTGTAAAAACAACCTTCATTTCTTAAGTAGGTGCTATAAAAAAA